ATAGACAATATATTTAAATGGAAACTGAACTACACTATTTTTATTTTCCCAGGTAGGGCCCACTGAACTATATACAGTAGCTCTTTTTCAGAAGCGACCTGGCCACAAATGATAGTTCGACGAAGTGGCATATCACGTGGAGATGTATAGCAGCCCAAATACTCGAAACGCGTGTACGTTGAAGATTAAATAAAGTATAGGACGCGACCCAACAAACACACAGATCCATTCACGAGAAGAACAAACACACTTCGAATTAACTTTCAGGCAACTTTCATAGCGAAACATCGTAATATCAATTCTGCCTGATAATGCTCCTTGTAACTACCAGCGAAACGTCGGACTTCCCAATTGTTAAATTACGTGAGTTTTGGTCTGCCGGCGGTGTTGATGAAGCAGTAAGAGGCTGGCATCGTTTGTTCATCACGTACCTACTTTATTCATTGGCTGTGTCGGGTGGTGGAGGGTGGAACGACACACGTTTTACTCACGCGGCGATATGAACCCAAAATAAAAACAATTATGAATCAGAATATTGGTCGCGAAAGCCTGCGACTACACGTGTTCAAAATCAGAATATGTATTTATATTGGAGGAGGAATCCGATGAGCTATAAAGCTCTTTATCTTTTACAGATGTTTAGTAGGGGGCACGGGGTCAGGACGTTACGCCAACAAGCAATACGATTTCAGACATCATCATCATAACTCGCATTCCAACCTCGCCATGACTTGTCACGACCAACACGATCGAGGGGGCAGTGGGTACACAATGGCAGTACACAATGGCAGTGGGTAGTAGGTACACAACGGCAGTACACAATGGCAGTACACAATGGCAACACACAGTACACAATGGCAGTACACAATGGCAGTGGGTGGTCGGTACATAATGGCAGTATACAGTACACAATGGCAGTGGGTAGTAGGTACATAATGGCAGTACACAATGGCAATGGGTAGTAGGTACACAATGGCAGTACACAATGTCAGTGGGTAGTGAGGACACAATGGCAGTACACAATGTCAGTGGGTAGTGGGTACATAATGGCAGTACACAATGTCAGTGGGTAGTGAGGACACAGTGGCAGTACACAATGTCAGTGGGTAGTGGATACATAATGGCAGTACACAATGGCAGTGCACAATGTCAGTGGGTAGTGGGTACATAATGACAGTACACAATGGCAGTACACAGTACACAATGTCAGTGGGTAGTAGGTACATAATGGCAGTACAACGGTAGTACACAATGTCAGTACACAATGTCAAATGTCAGTACATAATGGCAGTACATAGTACATAATGGCAGTGGGTAGTAGGTACATAATGGCAGTATACAGTACACAAAGGCAATACAACGGCAGTACAACGGCAGTACACAATGGAAGTGGGTAGTAGGTACATAATGGCAGTACACAATGGCAGTACACAATGTCAGTGGGTACACAATGGCAGTATACAGTACACAGTACACAATGGCAGTGGGCAGTACAATGTCAGTGCACAATGTCAGTGCACAATGTCAGTACACAATGGCAGTACATAACGGCAGTACACAATGGCAGTGGCAGTACACAATGGGCTACGCGCAACGTCGTGGAGGGGGTCGGCTGAGCCGGGTCACCCCGAGTCGTGAACATCATCAACAACATCAACAACATCAACACCAACAACATCAACGACGACGACGACTCGGCCGATGCTCCATCAACTGCAGTGTGCTCTTCACTCACTTCCAGAGGGAAGGGGGGGGGGCACTTCCGCCACACATTTGACACCAGTGGGGGTGTTGACAGCAGCAGCACGATGACGATGATGATGATGGGGCGGTGTTTTCACTCTTTGTGGATTGTCAGGGGCCACACTAAAGGCCACCAGGGGCCGCGAGTGGCCCACAGGCCTCGCGATGAAGAACGCTGCTGGGTGAGCAGTGGCGCACGAGCACACGGACCCCCAACACTCAGCAACATTCATGAAGATAACTATTGAGACTAACTATTTGATTTTATTTCAGCCCTTTGAACTATCCGGATAGGTCTTTTTTCAGAAGCGACCTGGCTATCACAAATGCTCGCTCACGGAAGAGGCTTGACATCACGTGCAAATTTATGTCAACCAAAGACTCTAAACGCACGTTGATTCTGAATGTACAGGGAAAAATCTACGCCACGGTGGGGAGAGAGACACGCAAACTCCTGAGCAGATCCTGAGTTGGGGGAAGTCGGCGGTGCGAGCTGGGGGGAGGTATGAGAAAAATCCAAGCGAACACGAGGAGAGAGACACGCAAAGTCCAAATATACAGGCGTCAGGGTCAGGGTCGAACCCACGACCTCCTGTACACCAGGCGAGGGAGTTAACATCTCGCCACCCAAGATACAGGGCTGTATACGATTGTAGCAACACGACACGAACTCTCTCTCACGTAGCCCTCTCGTCGTGGCTAGCAGACCTCGACATTGAACGTCTTGTCAAGCGCAATAAGAAAATCGAGATACATAGACTGGCAGAGATGCATAGAGACAGAGGCCCATCGAGACACGGAGCTGCACAGAGACTCATACCGATACATAGAGGCCAATAGAAACACAGAGAGACCTCAACATTGGCATTTCTCTTCCGAACACACTGCTGCTGCGGCCATGCGCAAGAGATAGACAGCTCATACGTAACTCACAGCACGTGAATGTGTATGTGCTGTGAAGAAGGACCATTGCCCGAAACGTCGCCGATAATGTATTCGTCCTTGTGAGGCCACGCGGTGTGGTTTTTACGGATGCGTCGAGTCTGTGCGAATGTTCACGAGGACGCAAATCACTTTGACAACAATCGCCGACTCCGAATCGGCGATGATGGGCAGAGTGGTTTCCTGTTTGCATGGCGCATCGAGGCGGTGCAGCCCTGAGCCAGTGGTGCAAATTCCACATTACTTTGGCCGGGGCGAGCCTATATCCATAAGCCAACCTCTGTTGATTTCTCCATTAAAGCGATACTCGTTTTATAGACCCTGTAGGGATGATGGGCTGAGTCAACGAACCGCTGGTGTCCGCCTTATGTGAACCACGACCCTAACAGGATTTGAACTCGCAACCTTACGATTGAGAGCCGTGGAGCTCTCACCGGCCACGACTCACATCTAATATCCGAACCGGTCATGACCCCCACATCAAGGCAGCAACCCGCACCGACCAGCGTGGTGAAGTATGGTCAAACAAACCACGGCGAGCGGCGGGGTTTGTTTGACCATGTGTGTATGTTGAATTTCTTTCGCACCGTACGTAGCCAACCGAGGTGCGGGACGAAGGACAACAGCGCACGGCGGACTGACAGACAAAGAGATGCAACGCGTACATTAAAATAACCCCATTCTAATTGAATCGCGCGCATTCATCAACGGCACGCGCATCTTGTGAATTGCATATTCATCGTTTGTTCGATAGCAACGTGCGATTGTAATTGCAGCAGGGTGGAGCAACTATGTGGACTCGAGTCGCCTACGACTGTCGCCTTGCTCACGAGGCACTGGGGGATGATGGGGCCTTCCCTTAGGTCGACTCGGCCTCAAATGAGCGCTCGGAATAACGCGACAACAACAACAACAAAAGACACGCGCACACCGTCGGCAGTTCCTGAAGAGAGGCGGGCCGTGATCGTCTCGTCTTAAATCGCCACCCTCGCAACTCCGATTAGCGCAGTAGACCACGTACGGTGCGAAAGAAGTTCACCGTACATACGGTTACATCAAGGCCGTAATTAGAATATATATTGGGGGGGACACATCCACCCCCCAATATTAAAAGATTAAAATATTCTCAAAATGTCCCCCCAAATATATTGCTATAAAATAGATTTCTGTTTATATGATTGTGGTTATGGTTGTACTTTATAAATCCTTAATCTCTGCCATTACATACAACGAAACAAGAAAAGGTAAAAAAAAGAAAAAACAGAGCAATGTAATACAATACACGATTAGACATTATTGTAAAGAATAAATAAAAAGTCCATCCCATGTGTTAGTGATTTTTTTTTTGGCAGGAAATGTCAGAAAATTAGTTTTCACATTTAGATTTTTCTGAGGTGGGGGGGGGGGACCCCAGACCCCCTGGAAGATTTGGTCCCCCCCCAATGTTGACTCCATGGCTACAACCTTGGGTTACATACATTTCCTTCTGCCTGTCCAGGTGAGGTGGGCAGCGGTGGTGTAGCGGTTAGCGCACCGCGCTACAATCCCGGCTATGACCTCGAGATCGATTCCCGCTCACGGCCACCCACCAACATCGCTGAGGAATATCTGAGCCCCTCCTGGGATTCCCCTAGGTCGACTCGGCCTCAAACGAGTACCTGGTGCGGTGTGTAAACATCGCCACTGGGGAGACAAAGGCGGACGGGCTTGATTCCGGCCACCCACCTCTGGTGTGCGTGCCGGCCTTCATAGGTGCTCGCTAAAAGCACTTGCCCCAACAGTCTGATAAGGCTACACGGGGGATCTTTGTCTTTGTGTGGCGGTGTTTAGAGCAGCGATGTTAGCCGCGGCCGGGAATCAAACACGTGGTCTTCAAGTTCGTCGTGCAGTGTGCTGACTCCAACACACAAGATACAGTTCCCCTACATAGTCTTTAACAGACTGTTGGGGCAAGAGCAGTTCGCGAGCACCTATGAAGGCCGGCACGGCACACGAGGGGGTGGGTGGCCAGCACCACGCCCAGCCGCCTTTGTCTCACCAGTGGCGATGCTGAAACATTTGAGGTTGAGTCGACCTAGGGGAGGCTCTGGACCGGTTCAGGTAATCGTCACTGGGTGTTGGCCGTGAACGAGAATATATCCCGGTTGGCCCTGGTTCGTAGCGCAATGCGCTAGCTACTACACAAAGACAAAGACCCCCTCCCCCCGTGTAGCCTGTAACGGACTGTTGGGGCAAGTGCTGTTAGCGAGCACATATGAAGGCCGACAGGATACGCATGCACACAAGCACGAGTGGCCGTGTAAAACCGAACTCACATTTCTAGTGGAGGGGCGCGGGTTGTGCCTTCTGCCGAGTTGTCTCCGCCGATCCGATGTCCTCCTCTGTCGTCGTTCGACCACCTCCACCACCACCTCGACCACCACCTCCACCACCACCTCCACCACCACCTCCACCACCTCGGCAGCTCGCAGTGAGCAGCAGCTGGGGTCTGCAGAGTGAAGGTGACAGCAGCAGCAGCGACAGCAGCAGCAGCAATGACAGCAGCAGCAGCAGCGACAGCAGCAGCAGCAGCGACAGCAGCGACAGCAGCAGCAGCGACAGCAGCAGTGACAGCAGCAGCAGCGACAGCAGCGACAGCAGCAGCGACAGCAGCAGTGACAGCAGCAGCAGCAGCAGCGACAGCAGCAGCAGCAGCAGCGACAGCAGCGACAGCAGCAGCGACAGCAGCAGCAGCGACAGCAGCGGCAGCAGCAGCAGCAGCGACACAGCAGCAGCAGCAGTGACACAGCAGCAGCAGCAGCGACACAGCAGTAGCAGCAGTGACAGCAGCAGCGACAGCAGCAGCAGCGACAGCAGCAGCAGCAGCGACAGCAGCAGCGACAGCAGCAGCAGCAGTGACAGCAGCAGCAGCGACAGCAGCAGCAGCAGCAGCGACAGCAGCAGCAGCGACAGCAGCAGCAGCGACAGCAGCAGCAGCGACAGCAGCGACAGCAGCAGCAGCAGCAGCAGCGACAGCAGCAGCAGCAGTGACAGCAGCAGCAGCAGCGACAGCAGCGACAGCAGCAGCAGCAGCGACAGCAGCAGCAGCAGCGACAGCAGCAGCGACAGCAGCAGCAGCAGCAGCGACAGCAGCAACAACAGCAGCAGCAGCAGGAGCAGCAGCAGCAGCAGCGAGCGCTCAAATGTCACGTCGCAATTCCTCTTCCTCTCCATTCTTCCATCGACGAGCCGTGGGGCCGGCGCGACACCTTGACCTGAACCAGCGGTGGGAAATTCCACATTCCCACGGCGGGGCCGCTCCCGTTTAAACCTTCGCTGCGATAACGAAGACCGTGAAAGGATAAAGGTGCGGCCCTGACACTGCCGTGCTCGCGCTACTGCTGGCCGGAATGTCATTGACGCCACACGGAGGGCCCTCAACAAGCGCTGTCCTTCACGGGCCACCATGCACCCCGCGCACGTCATCTTGCACATTAAGCCGATTTGTGTACACGCGCTGTAGCATTATCATTTGCAGAGCCACGGGAACGATGTCGAGTATTTGGCTGCTTGCTACGAAAGATCGGCACGTGATAAGCCACTTCGTTGGGCTATCATCCGTGGCCAGGTCGCTTCTGAAAAAGCTATATAGCTCAGTGGGCCTTATCTGTTAAAATAAACATCGTTTCTAGTTTGATTAACTTGCTATTCATTGGACAATCTAAAAACGCTGTGCGGTGGGCAGTCAACACATCTTTTGTGTGTTAAAAACAAACAAACGCAGAGTCACAATCTTAATTTAAACCGGAGGTATCCGATGAGCTATGAAGCTATTTTTTTTCACGGATGTCCAGTCGTAGCATCTGCAAGACAACAGCTTTGTGACCGACTGCTCTGCCGGGTGATTGAGCCCACTCGTCCACGATGGCCATACGCCTTGAATTGAGTTGGGACTAACCCCACCACTTTACACCAACCACACGTGCGATATGCTGATCGAGAAACTTAACCGTGGCCGTTAACTCCCCATTCCGACTGTGGTCATCCAGAACAGACCGCACAACGAATAACCCGCAATGCCCCAATCCACAAATACGAAGGAGACATCAGAGACATGATACGCTATTCCGCTTACTCCTGTGACGCGATTATTTATCTCACTGAGACCACATGAATGTGCTGAATAGAGCCGCCGTGGAATCACCCCCAGTGAGGAGCTCGCATCTGGCTCCAATTCTAAAGGGTTCACATCGCGGAGCCTTAACAGACTGAAGAGAGTGGAGTCTCGGCAGATGCAACTCTCTCGTGAAATCATGGGGCGGCTTCTACACAACAACCGCACAACGTGCTCGGTCAGGAGAAGCACACCACATGGATCACATCTCCCGAGATGCCCTGCAACACCACAATGCAACTCGTCAACATTTGCCAATGCCAACACGAGAAGCGGTGGAGACCAGTGCAGAGTATTGGGAAAAGACCCGTGCGTCGGTTGGACAGGAGACATGACGAGGAAGAGATCTGAATGTGAACATTGGCGCATGCTGCCCTGTATTGACACCATCAGCCGTACGGAATAAGAAGGCGGATAAGGAAATAAGGTCGTGCACATTCGCGCTGCTGGCTGGATAGTCACGGGGGCGAGGGGCAGAGAATGTGTGAGAGAGAAAACAACAACAACACTCGGCCCATTGTTTTGTCAACTGCCGCGCCGGGAAATCGAATCGAACCGGGCATCTCTAGATTGCAAATCCATTGTGCAAATAAATTGATAACGCCGCGTAACTAAAAATTCGCCATCACGATAATCTCTTGTTCAAGTCCGGAAAATGTTACAGACGCTTGCTCGCACGCGTTCGCGGCACGCGTCACGGTGTGTTTTTGTTTGACCATACTTCGCCGCGCCGGTCGGTGCGGGCCCGTGAGAGTCAGGGGAGGGAACCTGCGGGTACGCTTCGGATGTATCTGTGAACATCCGTGGTGGGGGAAATCGCTTGTATAGCTCATCGCATACCTCCGGTGAAAATAAATATTCCGATTCTGATATCTCGCCAACTGACGCTCGCAGTTTGGTTGTGGCCGGGAATCGAACGGAGATGACGGCGTTCACAACGCGGTGCGCGAAAGGCTACAGTTTTGGCTCAAAGTTGCACGATTTTTTTTGGGTTTAAATGCGGAGTGGATCGCTGCCCAAGCCGTCGTTAATTGACCACGTTCGTTCTGCGCGTGACAACTTTACCGATTGGCCGTTTCGGGTGGAGTAGGGTGTACGACACACAGTTTACTCAAGCGTACGATATGTCCTCTTAAAAAATATATGTATTACGCATGTATGTATGTTGAACTTCTTTCGCACCGTACGTAGCCAACCGTGCTAATCGGAGGTGCGGGGATAGGACAACGAAACACTCTAACGAAATGACTTTTCAATCCGGATGACTTAAAAGTGCGTAGCGCCCAATGGCTTCCTAATATCTTCGGGAAGAGCGTTCCAGACGGCCGCAGAAGCGCATCTGAAAGCGCGCGATGCGGTGACCGCCGTCTTTGTCCCGACGGCCAGCCAGAGGCTGCTGCTGCTGCGAGCATGACCGAAGCTACACCCCCCCCCCTGCCCCACACGGTACCTCTCGCTACAAACCCTTCTCCATCACCACTTCGAGCTTGAGCCTCTTCTTGCGCACCGTACAACGCCAACCGTGCCAGTCGGCTGGCTACGTGGTACGGTCATTTACAAGCAGCAAACAATTTATCCGCCGGTGTCACACACGCACACACGCACACACGCACACACGCACACCTAAAAAGTAAACTGTTAACATTTTAAGAGTAAATATATATGCCCTTATACCGTACGTAATTAACCGCTGACATTTCCATTGCGAGAGAACGTTGTATCTCAGTGTACGCACACGCAGACCAATGAACACCGTTCTCTGTGCACCGCACCGACGGTGATTTGTCTGCGGACAGACGGGTCCCCGTCGTGGGAACGTGGAATGTTTACCAACTGACTCATTTACACGCCCGCTCTGTTGAGCAGCGCCACACTTGCTACTCTCGCGCCTGTGTGCTATACAACTCGCACTACACACAGAAGGTGTGTGTGTATTATTATTATTGAATTAGTTATCTGATGTGTCATAAACACCATCACTGGAAAGACAAAGGCGGCCGGGCGGGGTGCTTGGCACGCCATCGCTCTCGTGCTCGATAAGAAAGAGACACTTGCCCAAAAAAGTCCGTGTCGGCTACGCGGACGACCGGATCGTTCATTGGTGTACTGCCTTGTGCTGGTGACGGCAGTGCTGCTGCTGATGCATGCACGTGGTTCTCTCTACCTGGGCATCTGAGCAGAGTTTCCGCGGCCGTGGAGAGCTCCGAGTTGAGTGCGTGGCAATGCCGTCCCCTCTTTATAAGAGACACGCAGCAGCAGCAGCACCGGCGGCGGCGATCGCTCCCACCCCCCACATCATCCACCACGCACCCCCCACTCTCCCCGTGTCATAGCACACACACACACAAAGACAGAGATTGCCCGTATAGCCTTGAACAGGCTGTTGGGGCAAGTGCTGTTTGAGAGCAGCACCTATGAAGGCCGGGACGGAACGCGAGGGGATGGGTAGGGCCAGCCCGGCCGCCTTTGTCTCCCCTGTATTGATGTTTTTATGCCCCGCACCAGGTACTCATTTTAAGGCTGAGTCGACCTACGGGAGACCCGTCACCGGTTCAGATAATCGTCACCGATGGTGGCCGTGAGTGGGAATGGAACTTGGGTCACCGGGTTCGTAGTGCAACGGTTACGGCTCCCAAAGCACACACGACACATGACACAAAGACAAAGATCCCCCGTCTTTGTGTTGGGGCAAGTGCTGTCAAGGGGTGGGAGGCCAGAACCCGGCCGGGCCGCCTTTGCCTTTCCGGTGGGGGGGGGGGGGGGGGGTAAAACACGTTTAAGGCTAAGTCGATCTAGGGGAGGTCCAGAATCGGTTTTCAGATATTCGTCACCGATGTTGGCTGAGCTGGAAACGATCTCGGTCGGCCAGGTTGGGAGCGCAGTGCGCTAACCACTACACTACCCCTGCCCTCTGGCGCTACCCCATACTCACAGACACACAACCTCTCATTCAGCAACACTCACCTACACACAGACACACAAACTCTCATTCAGCAACACTTACCTACACACAGACACACAAAGTCTCATTCAGCAACACTCACCTACACACAGACACACAATCTCTCATTCAGCAACACTTACCTACACACAGACACACAAACTCTCATTCAGCAACACTTACCTACACACAGACACACAATCTCTCATTCAGCAACACTTACCTACACACAGACACACAAACTCTCATTCAGCAACACTTACCTACACACAGACACACAAACTCTCATTCAGC